CAGTTATAAAGAAAACTTAAACATGTCATTAGTAAATAAATTATTGGAACTGAAAAAATCTTCATTGAGTGAAGTCACTCAGGCCCCAAAAGACAAGTCATTAATATTTTATCTTGTACATAGGCTTCAGCTTCTAATCTTGTGTTTTCCTAGTTTAGCCTGAAGTATGTGTGGTATTCAGGAAGCTATTAACGAACCAGAAAGTTTATGCTTTTTAGGAATGGGATAGATTATGTGTAAGGGGACAGTGGACTGAAATGGATTACAAAATATATGGGAAGGAGATTTAATCAAAATGAATTGTGAATGATAAATCTACTTGGGGATATGTATGGAACCATGATCTTGTAATCAAATAAAAAGCATAATAATAAGGAATATTGTAACACATTTGTGATAGACAGTAATGACAGGGGATTGTAGAATGAGTTAACCCAAATTAAGAAGCCTGTAGAATCTCTATGACATCTTGTTAGTTTGTAAGTTACTCAAAACAGAATTTTAAAAAATTAAAGGAGTTTGACATGAGTATCCTACATAGGCACAAATGTTACTCAAAGGTAGGTCATTAAGTAAAAGTCTCAGTGGCAAGCACAGGTTTCTTATGTGTATCTTAAAAAGTCAAGCATAGTAAATTCATAAAACAAAAAAGCATAAGCTCAGTGAGTGAACTTTTCACCTCTCAGAAACATCGTGCTTTTACTCAGTTTTAACATCTTTGATCACTGTAGAAAAAGAGAGTTGGTTCATTTGGTTTATGAAAGGTAAAAGAATGTAAGGATAGGGAACAACTCACAAATGTCAAAAGGAATTAGGGATGCATGTCCCATGTGTTTCTGCTTCTCCATGTTATTGATCAAGGTGGCATGCAGAAGAATAACTGTATTTTCAAACTGGAGAGAGTAGACCAAAGGCATTCTTCTCAAACCAGTAGAGCGAGTCACCCAGGGCAGAGTATGAGGAGACACATTGAGGAACATGATCCCAGGAAGGCAGAGCAAGGCACCCAGGGCTGTCAGCGGACACTTTGTAGAACATGATCCTGGGAAGGACCAGGTGTTTCTCTTCAAAGGCTCGGGTTGCATTGGATCCAAGACATCTACTCTGTTCTTGTCTAGAAAGAATGAGATATCTCAGAATGATCACCTTCAGTTTCTTGTGAGTCGAGAGAGTTGGTGTTCAGTATATTTGATTTGACTTAAAACAATGTTATATATACTTAATTTATGGTTCGCTGAGTAAATGAGTTCTTTTTCCGAAAATCTGTTAACTGTATGCTGCATCGGACCATCAGTAGTGCCTACCTATATTCTGTAAATAAATATCTTTCACTTGGCAATGGGATCTATGAAATTTGTAAAGTAAGTGTGATGGCAATCTTTTGATGGTCATTTTAGTATATTTAGAACCATCTAGGAGATATAATTCAGATGGTATTTTTGGAGGCATTTCCAGAGAGGCTTAACCGAGAATGGAGGATTCATACTAAATGTGGGTGGCATCGTCCTGTGGAGTGCAGTTCTTGGTGGAATACAATACTTTAAAGGAGAAATGAAGATGCTAAAAAGAGCCTCACCATTCAGATCGCTATTTTTAGCACTGAACACCTATTGACAAGGTGCCTGCCTATAGTTAGATTGCGTTACTCTCTTGCCATGCTGAATTATGCCTCTTCTTAAATTGGGGCCAAAGTTATTTCTTCTTCCTTAAAGTTGTTTTCTGGCATATGCTGACTCACAGTGACAGAAAGGATTAAACATGTACCTTGGAACTTATTAGCCTTTGGAATCAGATTCATATGTGATGTGGAAGTGCAAGGACTTCTACTGAAGCAGGATCTGTGTTCTGCTGTCTTCTTTGTTTATGTTGCATCTTTTATTATAAATCACCACAAGTCATTTTTATCAAGGAAAGAATTTTGTATAAAAATACAGGAATATAATTCAGTTTGATATTCCATCTAAAAAACTGATATGTTTCTTGGTTTCTGCTTCTGAATCAATGCTCCATGTTTTTATGCTTTGAACTGATGTATTTATCTGATATTCCGTGATTCTATTGGTCAAAGTACTTCTTGCTATGTAACTTCTTGTTTAACCATGGAATGGTTAGCTTTGCACTATTCATTTAAACATTACTATGTCCTTATTTTATGGTGTCAGGAAAAAAGAAAATATTGGGTAAAAATCTGAACATTACTTCCATGGGTCTGAAATGACTCAGCTATTTATATAAATTCTGAGCTTTAATTTTGGACTTTTCAGAATGCTGGACCCTTGCTCTAAGTGTTCTATATGCTCCAGTTCCACTGGTCTGTCTCTGATTGTCACAATACCATAGGTCTTCTTATTATCAAGCACATGTATGATGCTTATTCTTTTTGGTTCGAAAATGTAGTATGAAAGTTCCCTAACATATATGGATTGGAAATTTTGAGTTACTGCAGAAACTCTGATAATCAATTTTAGTTAAGATGTAAAAATATACCAAATATTGTGGGATCACATTTGGTAATTTAATATGTGGTAATTTGAATCACATGAATGGATAATAGCTTCATGACAGGAGGAAGACAAAGCACATTAATCTTTCAAATAAAGAATTTTGGTGCAAGGATTACATTACCATACTGAACACAATAGTATTGGCTTACTGAACTAATGAGAAAAAAATGAACAAAATTGGACTATAACAGAAGGAGCCATATTTAGCTTTTTGCAATGAGATATAATTTCAGCATAATTACATTATCTCTCAAATTAAATTAATGTTAACTTGAATATTATTGATTTAATAATTGTTTTATGGATGTTTGTTTTATTAGAACCTTTCTTTTTCAAGAATTAAAATCTAATTATTATATTTATTTAAATCAAAGTGGATTGCAATTACTAACATCTGTCAGAGGAGCCAGAAATTTTTATTAAAAAATACCTTAGAACTCTCATTTGAACATCAAAAATTTGCCATCTTTCAATGTTGTTGTAAGAGTTAAATGAAACATATAACACAGACCTATTCCTTTTACTTACTTATAATCTTAATTGTAAATGTTTTTAATTATCAGATTCTTATAGTTAAAAAACAACATAAAAATAAAATCAGATATAGGATAATATGTGCTCTTTAAATATGAATATTATTCTCCAGATTGTTATATCTTCCATTGTACAAATAATATTTAGTACTTGTCATGATTACTGACAAAAATGCATACCTCAGATAATTGACCAGTGAAATGGCTGATCTTATTATAGCCCTTATTTCACCAAAGACAGACAGTGTGTTTCCTGGCTTCAGAAGATGTTTCCTGAACTCACACTCACATGTCTCAATTCAGTGCACTGAACAAGCACTGATCAGAACCTATGTACTGTTTCACAGATAGGCATCAAATAGAGAAGTTCATGAAGAAGGCACTGAGTTTTTAAATATAAAACAAGTTCAGCACCTAAGGCTCAAGGAACATTGATCAAGAGGAGAGAGAAGGGTTATACAAGTTACAGAATCAGGGAGGTTATTGTTAGATAATGTTTCTTAGAAATAGAAGCTAAACCCATAAGGTCTCATCAATGTGACTGCTGAAATACACAACCTAAACAAAAACAGCAATGACATGCTAAAGTGGATATAGTGAACAAATTAAAGACCTCAACCCTTCACAAGGGACCACAGGTGGTTAGAAATACTGCAAGTAGGAGGGGTAGTTTTTCTTAGAGAAGAACATACCAGTTGATTGCCCAATATACATGTATGTATGTGTGTGTATGTATGTATGCAATTATAATAGAAAAAGAGGCCATGTATCGGAAAGACAGCAATGCAGGGTAAATAGAAGCATTTGTGTGGAGGAAAGGCAATGGAAAATGATGTAATTATGTTAAAGTCGAAGATAAAAGGGACCACTGATAATGCCAATTGCTTCTGGGAATTGGAAAAGTTAATGGTCTTGAAAAGTTACAGGACTTATAAGATGGCTCAGGAGGTCATAGTGTTTGCCACTAAACCTAATGATATGTGTTCAATATGTTGAATCAATATGGTAAAAGGAGAGAGCTGGTTACCAAAGGTTGTCTTCGAAGCACAGAGACATACACACATGCACACCCACTTGAGTGCACAAGAGCACACACTTGTATACACATATATACATTCGCAATAACAGCTATTTTTAGAAATAATGGAAACTATAAAATATAAAGCAAATAATTATTTTTTATCTGTTTCCTATCAATGACAGGAACACAAAATTACACTTTGTCATTTCAAAATTATACTGTATATTTCTTCTGTAATTGTTCTTTAGTATTAAATAAGTGCTGCTGAGACAATATTTATAGACAGGAATAATAAAATAATTTTAATTCACAGTATAGCATAAAATTAGTTGTGGTGATATTTTGTTTGTGCTGTAGCAAATAAAGCTTTCATGAAGATCAGAGTATGGAGCTAGTCACACCAGTTATCCATAGAGGCCAGGCAGTGTTTGCACACACATTTAATCCCAGCACTCAGCAGACCAAGGAAGACAAATCTCTGTGAGTTCAAGACCACCCTGGGATACACAAAGTTTGAGTCAGTCTGAAAGAGAAACAGAGCTCAAAGTTTTGATCCCATCTAGGGTGGTGGAGACAGGAGTGATATGGCTAGGCTGAGCGGAATCTAATTCAGGAGGAAACAGGAGGTTAGAGCATTCAGTCTAAGGTTTTGTAGAGACAGGATCACTCCCTTCAGTCTGAGGATTTGGTAGAGGTTAAAAGCTATCTCTAGTGAATGGCTCCTTTGCTTCTCTGATCATTCAGCATTTATACTGATGTGACTCCAGGTTTTTATTATTAAGACCAATTAGAATCCACACAACATATTTTAGTCATGTAAAACTCTCTGAGAAAATCTATGATTCTTATGGTTTTTGTATATGATTTATGTTATTATTTTTAACTTCAGTGTTTTGGCATAATAGGTTTAGTTATTCTCAACAATATCCTTTCTTTTCATAGACTAAGACAATGAAAAGAACCTTGCATTGTAATGGAGTTCTTCCTGGCTTTGGAAAGTGGAACCACTACTGGACAACTATTCCCAGGAATCTCAAGGATACTCTTGTCAGTTATTAAAGATATTGGCTTATTAGAATTGACACATCCATCTTTGATATTATTGCTTTTCCCCTTTTTGCTTTTATTATTTATTTTAAAATTTTTGCTGTAGTTATAAGCACACTTAACATAAAACTATCATCTCTTTTATCTCCTTCAAATGATCTGAATAATCTTTCTAGTGGTTCAGTTGCATATTACATCTCACTATGTCTTCTTGGGATTACTAAATAACTTTTATATTCATAGGTTATTCTTGGTGAGATACTTTATCATAAAAGAAGTTAAGTGGTATCTTCCACAGTAATGATTTTAAAGGGGTCCAAGTTTTTAAGTAAAATATCTTCTTACATGTAAATCTTAAACAGACATAAAATGAAACACTGTAGATGGAAGTTTCTGTCCTGCCAAGTCTTGCATCCATTCAGTCCTCAGTAAACACACAAAGACTTACATTAATTATAAACTCTTTGGCCTATTACTTAGTCTTATTACTATCAAGTTCTTACAACTTAAAGCAACCCATAATTATTGTCTATTTTTAGCCACGTGGCTTGGTACCTCTTTTCATCTTGCATCTTCTGTGTGTGGCTGGCAACTCCTCTCTGCCATTTCTGTTCCAGAGTTTGGTAGTCTGGTAGCCCTGCCTATACTTCCTGCCTGGCTTGTCAATCAGTATTTTATTAAACCAATATGAGTGACAAATCTTTACATTGAACAATAACATTATCGCACATCAAAGCATAATATTTTTTTCCATTGTATCACATAAAATTTTTTTAAAAATGCTTTTGCATATGAAACACTGTAGATTTTATTGTTTTTTTGTTTTTTTTTTTTGTTTTTCGAGACAGGGTTTCTCTGTGGCTTTGGAGGCTGTCCTGGAACTAGCTCTTGTAGACCAGGCTGGCCTCGAACTCACAGAGATCCGCCTGCCTCTGTCTCCCAAGTGCTGGGATTAAAGGCGTGCGCCACCAACGCCTGGCACACTGTAGTTTGTATTAAACCTTAGAATTACCCACAAAGAACAGAATATTCAACCTGTACTAGATACTGTCTGTATGTAATGAAAATGTCTATCAAATATAGTTAGATATTCTTATTGAGTTACATAATTTTAAAATAGCCTAGATACAGTTTTTGTACAACTCTTCAACTGCTATCATGCATATATATGTATATGCATCTCAAATGGTGGGATTACAGGCTTGTGCTAACAGGCCTAGCTTCCAAACCATCTTGTATTAAGTTTAATGTTTTGTAGCTTTATGAGAAGGAATAACAGACATTAGTGGCTAAGTTCATTATAATATTTACAATTATTATACATCAATTACACAAATATTTATAGAAGCCATATATTAAATCTCATATATGGAATTGAAATAAAATGAACATATGGGTCCTTAGCTTGAGATTAATCCATTTGTATAAGAAAAGTACTGTGAAAATAATCTGTACTTACGTTATAACTGTAACTGTCATAATGTGGTGAGAACAATGACGTCACTCAGGAAATAGTGCTTAAAATTAATTTCATGAGTAAAATCTTGAGTCTTTAGAGAAAAGCAGCATATCTAAGGAGTAAAAACTGTCTAGTAATGAGATATGGAGTATACTTCAGACTTACATTTTGTATTATGAGACCTGTAGATCAATGAATGCTTTTGTATAATGAAATGATCCCAATCATATTGGTACTTTATGAAGGTCAAACCATGGAGAACTTAGAAGTGGAGATGCAACAGGAAAATATGCTAATTGTCCATATGAAATAGTGGAGCATTTAAAATGAGCTATGCTAGGAGTTAGTAAAGGAATACAGATTCAGAATTATTTAGGATATAAACATAGAAAGTCTTAGGACAGTTCTGAAACGAAAGTAAACATGACCATAAATGGTTTGTGACATCTATATATGCACCAGGTCTTACCTCTGCAGTCTGAATGTCACCAGACATGAGCATTGATTAAGGACATTTTGTACTGCTGACTAAGGCAGTAGCTTTACTCCAAATTCTGTAGAAACTCAAATTGTTCACACAGTTTCAGTATTCAATTTTCAGAGCCTGAATTATTATTAATTCCAGAGATAGAAAGGGTATACACCGGATTTGTTCACTCTTTTCAGCTTTCAATTTTCATGTTAAAAGTGTGTGAGATAAATAAGAACTAGTGACAGGAATTCATGCTAGGAGACCATCATAATATTGCTATCAAAATTGTCCAAGTTCACCAAGCAGTGGCGACACGTGCCTTTGATCCCAGTACTCATGAGGTAGAAGCAGGCAGATTTCTGTTGGTTAAGCCCAGAGGACAGGCTCTGAAGCTACAGAGAAACCCTGTCTTGTAAAAAACAAACAAAACAAACAAACAAAAAAAACAAATGAAAACTGTGTAAGTTCAGGGATACAGAGATTCGTCAGTGGTTAATAATCCTTACTATTCTTACTTAAGATCAGAGTTTAGTTCCAATCTTGTCAGTCATTCTATAACTCCCTGTTAACATTCAAGAATCCAATACCCTCCTCTGGCACCCAGAAGCAGTACTCTGCACTGAAGTGCCCAAATCCACACATAGATACACATATCCAACATAACTGAACATTTCAAGTGTCTTTAAAAAATAAGATTGTGAGAAAGTTTCTACTGCCATTTCCTTTTATATCTACAAGTGGTTAGAGACAGACAGGTTAATATTTTCATAAATTTTTTTCTTTATCAGAAACAGAGACAGAGTATAGTCCCTCATAAGCTAATCATTGTGTGTTTGTTTTGCAAGTACTCAGTGTGTCTCTAAATGAAAAGGAACCAAAAATTTCTAGCTATGTCACATGATCTCTTTCACTGTGATAGGGCAGAATTTTTCTTCATGGCTGCTGGAAAATGAACACAACTCATAAATAGCCTCTAAATTTAGACATGTTTGATCTGGAAGCATGTTAAACAATGGGTTATTTACTGGCATCCTACTACTTTTATTTTAATTTCTGCTCTGACATGCTGGTTCACCTTTTTATGAACAATGTAATTTTGAGTAAGGTTCTTTTCAATCATGTTTCTTTTCAATTCATGTTTCCAAAATGATGAAAATTTATCAGATCATAGACTCACTGATATCTTAGGTGCCTGTTCTTTGTTGCATTATAAATTAAGTAGAGTTGATTACTGCTTATATAAGTGAAGAATATTGACCATATAAAGTGGTTTATTTTACCACAAAATTATAGAATATTATATGTAAGATCTATGAGAGTCTCAGAAATATGTCTGCATTCCTTGTGTAAATATTCTTCTAGTCCTCCAAAAATGTAACCATGCAGTAAACTACAGAGCTCCTTATTGGAATGATTTTGTCATTTTTCACCAACAATATAATTCACTTTTCATTCATTTTGACATGATTTAATGACAAATGGGACATACCATAACTTCTCTCAATGTAGAGAGTCCTTTGTACTTTAGAACATCAGTCCTCAGAGGAGAACATAAAATGTATCACAGAAAACATCTTCAGATTCTTTCTCTTTCCTCCCCTCAATTCTCCATCCATCTTTGCCTAAACAGCTATGACAGAGACCTATGGCAAAGAAATGTGGTTTCTGGACAACAACTAAACTAAAGACCTTGACTAATCATCTAGAAGATTATGAACTGGTTATTTCAGCTGTGTTCTAGGATGGCAGCAAAGCCTTGAGGATATATTCATTAAAAACCATTGGCACCTTAGAGTCACAAACAGCTTTCTATTCTAAGAAACACAATGAAAGAGTGAGTTTGAGTCGGTTGTTTTTGTTATTGTTTTAAGCTAATTTTGGTATAATTGATTATGGAGCAATGAAAGTATCATAGATTTGACTCCCTATATTGATTTTAATAAAGCTTCTGTCTGTTTTTTTAATATTTCCTAAAAACATTTACAAATTTGCCTATATCATGAAAATAGAATTATATTACATACTTATGAAATCTCAATAGGAATCCCTGTGTTCTCCCATATCATTTATGCCTTTAACCTCAATAATATTGGCTAAATGACAATAAGGATATGTCTAGTCATTAAAAATGCAGGATTCAGGGCAAAAACCAAACTTCTTTTAAAATGTTATCAATATTTTAAAAATATATGCTACTTACACTAAAAATACTCAACAGAATAAAATTCAGCAATGTGTAAAAAGAGTTATGAACCATGAATAAATTGCATTTTTCTTTGTATCAATTAAAGCAATTCATAACACACTTAAAAACACTTGCGTTGAAATCCTAAATCAACATGGAATCAACTATCAACAAAGTACAAAGTAATTGCATAATATCTGACTCTTCTATTGCACATGTCTGCCTGTTTGTTTGAAGGACAGTGCATATTGAAAAGATCATATATCATGGTGTTTATTTAACCAGGAATGCAAGACAGCTCAACATACACAAATCAATATTATAAATAATAGATAATATAGAGTCAGGGAAAAAATTGCATGACCTTCTTGCAGGTAAAAATACTCTAAAAATTTAGTTACTTTTTATCTGCTAAAATGGAATACTGCTAGAGAGGGAAGAAGGCTTGTAGAAGCCAGAGTCAAGGATATCACACAAGAAAACACACAGATACAGCTACACTGACTGATTGGAACTTAAGAGTTTGAAGCAACAACCAGGGAGCCTGCTGGGGACTGACCTAGGCCTTCTAATTATATGTAACACTTGTGTAGCTTGATCTTCATGTGAGACCTCTAGCAGCGAGAGCAGGAGATGTACCTGACAGTGGGTTGCCTTGCCCATACTTAGTACAAGGGGAGGTGCTTAGACTTATTACAACTTGATATGCCATGCACTGTTGATGCCATGTGAGGCCTGCTCCTTTCTAAAAAGAAACAGAGGAGGGGATTGAGTTTGGGAGGGGGACAGAGGGAATGTAAGGGGAGGAAATGGGAGGGGAAACTTTTCAGGATGTAAAATCGGTAGATAGATAGATAGATAGATAGATGGATAGATAAGATTTAGGGTCTCTTGAATTTTGA